AATTGTAGTTTACACGTACATATACCTCTTAACACTTGTTTGCTTTATTAAAAAAGTGTGTTGTTGTGATTTACGTCGAAATAAGTCAAAAACAACTTGAAACCCCATATAAAATCAAAAAGGAGAAACGGAAAAAAATTGAGCCTGTAAATGAACACAACTCAGAAACAAAAATTGATTATTGTGCAGCTTCATCTATATCATTAACTGTTTTTGGTTTTTTAATGGTTTTTCTTGGTGATGAAAATTCCGATATCTCACGGTTATCGATTCTTTTTTTCTCTCCAGAAATGCGGACGACAGTGTTTTTAGATACTCCTGTGGCTGCAGCAACACGATCATTTACATTTTTAAATGGTATTGAAGGTGAATTAAAGTTTCCTTCTCTTCTCATAAACTCTATAACATTGGCTATTATTTCGCGAGATTGACTGTTAATCACGCGGCCTCTTAATTTGCTATTAAACTCCATACTTAGGTTCTATTAAACTGTAATGAGCAAAAAACAAACGAAAATAAAAGAAATGTTTTAGCGAAATTTACATCTGACATTTACGTCTGAATGAAATAGTGAAATACTTGATGCGCAGAGTGTACTTTCATTGCTTAAATCCGTTATGATGCCTGTCAGTAGTGCTTTCTCTGTCTAGCCGTCGAAAGCCTCTAGAAATTTGATGAACTGTATTTTTGAATTCAAACAGCATCCCAGCGTATCCCGCCTCTAAGGCGCCGTTTTATTACTTCTAGGAAAAAAACGTCGACTGTGAGATTATCACGGCCAGTAGCTAAAAAACACATGTGCATCAGAAGGGTTATATTCAGGAATTAATACAGGGCTTTATAGTCTTTATACACCAAAGCGACAGTCGGTCTTTGTCTGATACATTTGCTTATATGGGAAATTTAAGTATAAATAACCGGGTTTTTGTGGGCTGGGGAGATTAGTTATTTCTTCTTCACCGAGTCGAGTTAACAAAAAACGCAAATATCCAGGTTACCGTTACGGTGACTACTTTTTCTTTATATTCTTCAAATATAATTAAAAAGAGATATCGCTACCCTTACGGTGGCCGCGTTTTTGTTATATTTTGACAACGGAAATAAAAGATATCGACGGAGTAGAGAAATTAGTTTCTATAAACGACGGCTTCTGCATAGATATCCAGTTATCCTTAGGATGACTTATATTCTAGATATAAGTAAAAGGAGATATATAGTCAGTTTGACCAAGCAGATACACGTTGAGTAGAAACAGATTTCGCTCCTAGAACTGTTTTGTAAGGTTGTATCTAACGAGCGACTAAAATATAGGCGTAACTAATACTGGTGGTACCTCGCTAGTCTAGTTAAACTCCAGATATTTTGTATCTCCGATTCAACGTTATAAAATGTTACTAAATGATTAAAAGTACTACTCTATAGGCGACGTTCGTAGTGGATTTCGTCACCCTTCTGGCTGACCCGACGATCTTGCGCCAGGTAGACACTTTTATCAGCGGTATACTTTTCTTTCTTAAGGTTTCTTTTACGTAGAATTAAAACGATAATCGCACTATTAAAGTAATCAAACTAGTAATTAATATTCAGATATTCCGGGGGAGAATTTAGACAAACATTAATAGGTTACAGGTATCACTTTATTTACTTTTATATTCATTAGCGGGAACATTCACGTCTGTGTGTTATTGTCATATTTTCGGTATTCATTGGTAAACGTTTATTGTGGGAAAAATTATAGGGTTTTTATATTGTGCTAAATTATGTTATTTAGAGAATCGATAGTGATGTTGTTGTCATAAATATTAATTGTTCTAAAGTCGGTCAATGCTCTCAAGCAATAAATTAAGTCATTTAGATTTATGGCCAAAGGGCCGAATTGTAAAGTTTCGGTTGTCTGTAAACAGTACCTGTCCCTTTCAGTAAAGATAAAAAGCACTTTCATTTTTACTTTTAAATGGCAAACAGATGTAGATTAGTAGGGTAAACGCCTTGATTTGTATATATTTTACAGTTAGATTGGGGTTAAATAAATATGTTTTCGGTCGTTCTTTGTAAAACAAAATTGAGTAGACAAATGTGTAATTTTAGCCGTACGGAATTTTAGTTTTGTGTATCGAATTTTTGGGAAAAAGGAGATATGTACAGCGGCGGGTAGAATCATGAATATTGAGGAGGGTCGTATTTATTTGTACATATCCACATATCTTTAGCGGGACATTACGCGGAAGTAGTCGGTATGTTTGTTATTTATTTAGAATAAATAGGTGAAATTGTGTTTGTGGACTAGCTAACGTATCCTCAGAACTGGATTAATAACACTGATTTGTCAATCGACAGAGCAAAAGAGCATCGTACCGAAAAAGACGCCTTAGGCCACCATAGACCACCAGGGACCTCAATAGTAAGGGCCTAAAAATGGTATTTCCCTTGCGGCTATGTAAATTAAAGCCTGATAGAGGCTTGGATGGATCTCTACTGAGATACCCCAAAAGTGGGCCTGACGGGCATCCCCCTTTATATCAGGTGTTCTCCGATCGACCGTTTAGTGTTGTCCATACAGGACTAAGTATGTCGGTAAATTACGGCGTTGGAATATTAGAGAAAGGCGTGACGCACGGTGAGGTAAATCTACACTCCGGTTTTTCCACATATTAGAAATATTAAATTTAACCAACTTCAAAAAGGAAGAGGTTCTCAATTCGACACAATATTTTATATCTCACAACACTCCTCGTGCTACCGTTGTACTCTCTTTTATTAGACAATGCGTAATTCAGTAGTTCCGTGGAAACGTGTGATTGTATATTAGGAGACAAACAAACATACCAAAGTACTTCCGACTTTTATTTTACCCTTTTATGGGAACTAAAAGCTCTAAGGTTAGAAATGACACATTAGAAAGCCTACATAAACAGAATGTTAAGCCTAAAAATGGCACATAATCTAAATGTTCGGCTGTACAAAAGAATAGATGTTAAATAAACAGTATTCAAAATTAATCTCGGTGTTTCCTTTGTTCTTCCTCCATTACAGCTACATTGAATTCTAAACGTAATTCTGGGGGTTTTAACATCACTTCGTGGGTACCCACTAGACGAAATGTAGGCCAAGGTTATAAGTATTTGCAAAACTAGGTGAGGGTCCGGTTTGTCAAGTTACAGCACTTTAATTAATATTAAAGGAACTGCTTTTAGACAGGTTTTCCATAAACCAAAAACTCAGATACCTGACTCCTTAAAGGTGCCAACTACTTTTTCAAGGCAGTATTACAAACACCAAGAGACAAGTATTTCCCCTCGTAAGAGTAGGTACTTGCAGTGTTTTTGATGAATTTTGATATTTGGAACATGAATCCTTAAATAGCGTTGTTACTAAAATATATGGTGTCAAAAGTTTTAAATCGAAATTTAAAATTTGCTATAAATCAATATCTAAATATTTTTTTCAAATTTGATTTACCAAGATCTTGTCAAATACACGAACTATTCAAAATTTGACACTAGCTTACTAGATTAGACTTTTGTTTGAGAGAGAAATTTTTACTTTTTTTTTAACGAAAAATGAACAGAGATTTTTAATAGTACACCCTGTATAAAAAGTTTATGTTAAAAAAAATGCGCAACTAAAAATATCAATCGACGTGTCGGAGCGTTTTTCCGAACATGTCCCCATTTATTTATCCGAACTTATTCCATTTGACGGTTCCACACTGTATACAAATTGCAGTGAATGCGGTCCTGACACATACTTTGATCTTCTTTTACTATACGGAGAATGGTCGCACTGCGCAGCTTTCTGAGTGCCTCTTAAAAGGAGATAGAAAACTCCGCCATTTTGAACCCTTATTACGTGTTGCCAACATCTTGGCGCAATATTTTTAATTGGTGCGTTTTAATCATCCGCTTCTGCTTCGGAATTGTCGGTTTTCTTGTTTTAATCTGACAGGTTAAAACGACTAAACCGACAATTCCGAAAGCAGAAACGGATGATTAAAACGCACCTGATATTTTGCTTGCTGCTGTCAGTGTCAGTGAATATTATTTTTGAAGTCACAGTTTATTGCTAAAGAATCAGTTAGCTCACTCGGACCAGTTGAAAGTTCCAAAATAACATCCACTCCAGGGATACAAACAAATTCAGGATACGCAGAAGACTGCTGTTTTATTATAGGCGGTTGTCATATATTGTATTATCCGAGTTGCACAGTGTATAAACTGAAACATTGAGATCCAAAGTGCCGACGCAGAGTGAGCGATCTGATTCTTTAGCTGTAAACTGTGTCACAGGGTTCAAAATGGCCGCGCCCTATGTTGGGCGTGTCGGACCCACATACTTCGATTACTATACGAGGCAAGAGAGAGGTCCGACACGCCCAACATAGGGCGCGGCCATTTTGAACCCTGCTACACAGTTTACAGCTAAAGAATCAGATCGCTCATTCTGCGTCGGCACTTTTGATCTCAATGTTTCAGTTTATACACTGTGCACCTCTGATAATACAATATATGACAACCGCCTATAATAAAACAGCAGTCTTCTGCATATCCTGAATATGTATCCCTGGAGTGGATGTTATTTTGGAACTTTCAACTGGTCCGAGTGAGCTAACTGATTCTTTAGCAATAAACTGTGACTTCAAAAATAATATTCACTGACACTCTGACAGCAGCAAGCAAAATATCAGGTGCGTTTTAATCATCCGCTTCTGCTTCCGGAATTGTCGGTTTAGTCGTTTTAACCTGTCAGATTAAAATAAGAAAACCGACAATTCCGAAGCAGAAGCGGATGATTAAAACGCACCTATTAAAAATATTGCGCCAAGATGTACGCAACACGTAATAAGGGTTCAAAATGGCGAAGTTTTCTATCTCCTTTTAAAAGGCACTCAGAAAGCTGCGCAGTGCGACCATTCTCCGTATAGTAAAAGAAAATCAAAGTATGTGGTCGGACCTCTCTCTTACCTCGTATAGTAATCAAAGTATGTGGTAGCTGGTATTAAATAAGCTGTGATAGAGGTTTCTACTCCATGATATCCAATTTTCAAAATGTTGTTTATTTGTCACTAACTGTTAAAATTTGACATTAGTCAAATTACGCAATTTTTTTAACAAAAAATCCAATTGAAAATGTTCGCTTCAGCCGGTTTGGTATTGAAACTCCACAACGTGACCGACAACCAATTAGAACCGATATCGGTCTACAAACCGAAAAAAATTCCCGGGTCTCCCAGAATCACGCAACTATCATGGTGCCACGACAACAGCTATATAGGAATTTTACCGGAAGAATCGTTCCCGCAAATCATATCCTCCAAGGATCGAGCCAATTTGAATTTGATACATACGATACAAGTTTTGAAGAAAGTAACCGCTATACAGTTTAAACAGCACACCAAAAGAAGCATGGCTTTGGGTAACGCGGAAGGTGAGGTGATTTTGTACGATACGAAGAATAGAAACATATTAAGACGAGTGTGTAACTTAAATTGCCCGATTAGAGCCATGGAATTCAATGATAGAGATGAACAGTTAGCTGTAGCTACAGACAAATCAATAAACATATTCGCCGATTCAGATGCTGTAAATAATTTTACGAAAGAAGATTGCTATACGGAAAATTGCACCGTTCTAAAATACCACCCAGTAATCCCTAACGTTCTAGCCGTAGGTTACGAAAATGGATGCGTGGTCATCAGAGATACCGAAAAAAGTGAAGTTATCGCAAGTTTCCAAAAGCATTGCGCTCCGATAACCGGCATTAACTATTCCAACCGACAAAAAGCTATTATTACAACAGGAATTGATAAAAAAGTATGCGTATACGATTACACCAGTTCCGAATGTTTGTTCAGAATGAACATGCATCAAGCTGTCACTTGTTGTGACGTCAGTACGAATGACGTATACATTGCTGTCGGTTTGGAGGATGGATCCGTTTCCGTTTGCGATATCAGAGATCCATTAAAGCCGATGATTACGTCGAATACGCACAACAGCCCCGTCAGTGCCATTTCTTTCGAAAAGGGACCAGTTTTTGCAGGTACTCCAAGGGAAAAAATATCAGGAACTACTTTAAATCAAAGCGAAGCTGGCGATTATCGTTTAGAATACGAAAATGACGGTATTGACGAGAAATTCAAACAAGATATCGTCAAAATGATGAAAAACCACATGACGTATCTCGAAGTTCAACTAAACGAACATTGTAATAAATTCCAGAATTTTATTATGAACGAATTCGACTCGATTCACAACGCTATGAGTAGATGGGACGTTTTCAATGTTGGTGATAGTTCGGAAGTTGCTCAAGCCTTGGGAAACGCTGCTACGAATAGTATACATAGTACTACGATTAGAAAATCACATTGTAATAATTATTAGTAACAAGAATAAAACAAAAACAAATTTTTTTTTTATTATTAAAAAAATCGCAGTTTATATACTTTTTAGAACATCTGACAACATAGCACACGCTCAACACGGTTTTCTTGATTTATAATAAATATAATAATTCATTCGTAGTCATTCAGTGTATTTTGTTTTCATTACTTAAAATAGAATCTTGAACAATTTATAACAATAGGCCTTTCCATCACAATTTGTTTTTGTGTGCATGCATCAGTATCAGCCACCTTTTTTATACTGTGACGATAGTCTAATTTATTTATAGTTTATTTATTTAAAACACACTATTTACAATTTATTTAAGACGTACTAATTAATTTATATAATACTTAGACACTAACTAACAATTCTAATTTATTTATTACACTTTAACTTTTCATTACAATGTTCTATACTAAACTAAACTGTGCGCCGATGAGTAGGGCTATTTATACCAACTTTGCTACGAGAAGTCTCTAGACGCTCCATCTCTGATTCAACGGCACACATCGCCCGTTCTTGTATATTCGAGACGCGATCCGACTGTCTTCACACGTCAGCGTTGCTTCGAACATGAATCGAGTGGCAGACTTCCAAGGTCGCGCTTGCACAGGGTTGGCTCCGCGTCACAATACTGTCTTTTTGTAAAGAAGCATGTTAAAATGCCCACATGAAAAAATAGTAGTTTATGCAACAAAAGTGGAATGGACAATCCACTCGAGTTATGCAGTATATTTTTTCTACAACTCACTAACGAAAATCTACAAATATTAAAAATTATTTTAGGTCATTAAGATAATATAATTAATTTAAAAATAATTTATGACTTTTACTAATTTATAAAATAAAATAAACATAAAAAAAATTCATCTTACTTTTCTCCATCTGAGACTCGAACTCGAGTCTTTCGTATGGACGGCAACAACGCTGACCACAGGATCATCTATGCGTTATTTTTTTTTTTTGTTTTAATACTCTTAATTAAATTTACTTCATATAGTTTTATTTAAATTAGGAAATTATTTATAATTATAAACAAAATAAAAATAGATATTCTAATATTTATCGATTCTACACAAAAGTAACTCATTTTAATAATAATAATACTCTCCCTAATTCACCCCCTTACTAGTGAATTTCAACCCCTGAAGTCGACTGAACGACTTGTGTAGGGGAAGGGACGGCTATTATTATTATTTGCCGTGGCGCTCCGGGGCGACTTAAAGACAATTGATGGTGCCATTTGACTTACAGGTGAGGAAAACCCGGAAAACATTACCCACCATCATCGAGACGGTAATGCATGGCGATTTATTAATCTGCATGTCATATCAACAGAAATTGAATTTCTATTAATATGGCACACATCAAATCCTAAACCGAACCATGCAATTTAATTAAAAATCCACATGGTCTGGTCTGGGATTCGAAGCCCAGCAATCTCAGACTCATAAACTTGCCTATAAATGAATATAAGCGCGTTAGACCGCTACACTACTGACCCGATAAGAAGAAAGTCATTCTTGGACTGGTTTCGTCCTTTGCCGCGTTTGAGAATCCACATCGGATGCATCTGAGATGTAGTAAATCTTTGATCACGTGATTCAGTATACGTAAATGTAATGGGACAGATGTGTCCGATGTGGATAAAAAAACCCTTGAGATGTAAAAAATGCATCCGATGTGGATTCTCAAACGCGGCACTTATTAGGACTAGAATTATTTCTTTTTTTAAGAATAGCCCGCCTGGCTTTTATTCCACCTAGTCTCTGAACTAGGTACTACAGCGACTTTTGATTTTGCTTAATAAGTATAGATGGCGATACCACTTTTGCTCGTTGAATATCTACTCATGCTCAACCCGCCGTAATTGAGTTCGATCGAAATTGGTATTGCAATCAGACTCCATTAGAGACTGGAGTCGAAAATTTCTATTTATTGCTGAAGAATCCTAATAAGGATGACTTTCTCCTTAGTGGGCAAAATCAAAAGGCAGAGTGTTGAAAATATTTTTAATCTTTGCTATTTTCTTTCAACGTTATTCAATAATCATTGGTTACTTATAAACCTCTACTAAAGATACCCATAAAATATTTTGCTGAATATCCATAGAATATCTTCTATATCCTGGGATATAGACGGACATTTGGATATCCATATTAGATCCACTGGATATCTCTGGGATTTCTTGTATTGTCTGGGAGATACCCATTAGATATTTTGCTGGATATCCATAGGATATCTTCTATATTCTGGATATAGAGACGGACATTTGGATATCCATATTAGATCCACAGGATATTTCTGATATCCTGTAGATATATTGGATATCCACAAAAGATATTCTGTGGATATCTATGGGATTTGGTGTTGTCTGGGGGGTAAGCTTTAGGAATTCCATGACAATAATCTAAAATAATAGCATTTCTATTTTTATTTGAACCATATTTTAAAATAAACATTAAATTTTATTCAAACTATCTGAAACTATTTTAATTATTTGAATAAGGATAATTTCCAGACCGTAGCAGAATTTTATATGTAGCATATATTTTAATTATGAGTACCTATTAAACAAAAAACGTAAAAATGGCTGTAGAGACATGGATAAAGTACTTGACTTCTATGCGAAAAGCCGGGGATCGATTCTCGGCTGGCGACAAATTTTTTTTCTATATTTATTTTATTTTAAAAATCAGTAAAAATCTTAAATTATTTTAAAATTAGTTATTTTGTTTAAAATATTTTTTTAAGTTGTAGATTTTCGTTAGTGAGTCGTAGAAAAAATATACTGTACAACTCGAGTGGATTGTCCAAATGCACTCAGACTCCTACGGCGTCGTGTCCAAATTTTATCTTCGTGCAATATGGCCATCATATCCACTCTTGTTGCATAAACTACTATTTTGCAATGTTCTCTCTACCTAGAATGGATATGAAATATATTCGTTCAGTTGAAGGCAATAGCATACTTTTTCGTTTTATAATCTGTGCGTAGATAAGCTAATATCCATATGGGCGTAGAAAAAACATAGGTATTACCTATCTCTCGGTCCATCTGTTGATCACTTTTTATTTATTCAGTTTTTTCTAATCGTTTGTCTTCGACAATTATTGACTAAAAATTTTATAACAATAAAATAAATAAAAAATTGTTGTTAAACAAAATTTAAAAAAAAAACGCTTTTTATCTTCATTTTAAAACATCTGACAACGTCGCGCACACACAACAGAATTCTTTGACAAGAAGAATTTTCGAACGATCTGGCTACGTAGCAGGGTCGCAGTCGTCAAAAAATTACGGCAGGCCGCAGACATTCCTGGAAGCAAGACAACCCCGCCTTCAATCGACACCGCCTCGATGCGAGAATTCCGTCGGAACAACAACCTCGTCGGTCGCTGTTCCAACGGAAAACCTTTCATACGAGCGAGAGAGCAGACTGACTTTAAAAAAGTCTTTTCATCTCCTTAGAGCTGTATCCTCGTTGTAATACAACATATCTGTTATTTGCCGGTTTCTTTTGAATAAAATACGAGTTTGGCGTGTAAACTGAACTCTGTTCGGTGGCGAAATACACACGTCTGTAAAGAAAAAAAGATTGTGGGATTATTCTTTTTTTTTTGTATACCTATGCCTATTTGCGCTTGTTGTGTAGGCAAAATTATCACTTTGCTACCCACATAATGTGGTTGATACAGCGATAATGCCTAATGAATCAATTTATACCTACATGGTATTTTTATTAATACAATTATAGAAGCCAATAGGTTATAATAGGTATGTCATTAATATCTAATGTGTAGGCAATTTTTATTTTATAAAATTAGACCTAATAGGTATATCTCTATCAATTTTTAGGTACCTAGGTAGGTATGTACCTATGTATGTATCATTTACAAACAAATTAAGATTAAGTAGGTAGGTAAGTACCTAAATTCTTGACCTATACATCTAAATAAATCAGGGAGATAGGTACTGGTACGGGTACGCATTACCCAATTCTAGATCTATGTAGGTACCCATAGAGGAAGGATAGTTAGATCTATCTAGGGTACCTACATCTAATTTGTTATTAGGTAGCTGTTACCTAAAAAGTTAAACACTACCTATTTTTGAGTAGGTACCTATACCTATGTTTTTATCACAGGGTAGGTACCTATGTGTATCTTTTTACCATTTGTATTCATTTGCACAACAATTATTCAAATAAGTTTGCATACATTGTTATCCCGGATCGTGTTTTGCAAATAGGTACCTAGGTACCCTAGTTTTGACATAAAAATACCTAGGTAACTAATTGTAAATTAAAATTACGAGAAATTGAAATCAGTTGAGTACCTACCTACAGGCCATTATCTGAATACATATCTACTTATCTAAAATCTTGTTAAGTACTTAGGTACTTTCTCTAAATCTGCTTAAAACTTGGCTATACCTAGGTAGGTACCCAGGTAATTTTCTTTTATAAGTTCTATTGCAAATATCTTTATCTTTAAATGTATTTTTCTTTATAGGAAAATACTTTGAAAGCCTTCCAACTTCCCTATCATATAAATAAAATAAAAATATGACTTAAGGCATATCTAAAATACCAAAGATAGGTATAAATAACATATAACCAGGATAAAATTCAAATGCCTTACTTTTGTGATGAAATTTTACACCCTACAAAGTGCCCCCCATCTTTCAAAACGAAGAAAGACAACGATCACAATGATCAAGATCGGCTGTTTAAATTAGAATGGAAAAAAGAGAAATATACCACATAGGAGGATAATATACAGCTTGGGGTAAAATTTGAATTTATTTAGACTAACACGATGTTGTGTTGTGACGTGTGATGTGTAGTATTTAGTCGTTTAGAGTATTAATTTCGAATTGTTTTACTTTGCCTTGTTGCCGCGTTCATTTGGATGTTTTCTTTGATAACAGGATGATTAATGGAGAAAAATCATCTAGAAATGTAGAAATTAGGCCAGTGTTTATTAAAATGTTTTTTAGTATCCTTAAAATTAAGTAAAATTTATATCTTTGGTCGTTATTCTTAGCGTATTTTTGTAAATATCAAAAATCAACGGTATAGGACCATCGTTATCGTTACTTTCCGAAAAAATAACAAAAACAAAGCTTATGGAAATTGTGGGTAAACAGATCCATACATCTTCTACTAAGTTTTTGACAAACTGTTTATTTTAACAAAGAATTATAATAGTAAATGAACTACATTCGGATTAATTTATTTCTGATGATAAATCTAACGATATGGCAACGTCGCGGTTGGATTCCCCATGTTATTTGCACTTCGGGGACGTTCGTGTCGGTTCGTTTCAAAACTAAATCGTTCCTGTAGTCGTTTGTGCCTTGTGCCTGCCGTTGACTTTGTGGAACGGTATGCGCGAGGAATGATTTTTGTGCCAATATTATTATTCTATTTGACCGAATTGTGTGTTACCGTGTTCCGAAAAGGACGTATTTTACTCGATATAAGTGATCTGTGAAGCTGTGAATGAGTGGCTTGTGTTTTTAGTGTGATTACTTTTACCAAATAGGATTATTTTATACTTTTTTAGCTGGATATACACGCATTTGGGGCTCCTAAAGCTGGTAAGTATAAATAAATAGAGTAAAAGCGGTTTATTCATTGAATTTCTTAGAGGATCTTTGTTCTTTACGGGAAAAATAACCGATGCACGTCTCTTTTTATTGTTTCGCTCTCTCTCCGTTGATGACGGTGACGCTGTCTATTCACTCTATAACTTGGAAATTTTTAGTTCCGTCTCTTTTAGGTGCGTTGAGACCGATATCGGCCCGTCTCTTTTTAATGGTGGAACTCGTTTCGTTTATTCGATCGGACACCCGAAGCCATTTTGTAATTGTTTATTTTTATTTATCACCATTGATCATGATTATTTCGTCACATTACCATTATTGTTGAGAATCTAAAGTTGTTTGAGTTCTCATGACAAGTATCTATTGCCGTAAATCAAAGCGGACCTAGTTTTTTTCGGTACGAATTCCAAAGAGGACATACATACTTGATACTTGGTGGTTTTATTATTTCCGTTCTTAGGTACAAATACGATTTTAATAAACGTTGGGAATTATGTGGGAAAATCTTTATAGAGTACTTTCAAGATAAGAAATAATTTATTTATAAGTATTTCGTTAAGATATGATTAGATTATCAAATGGTAGGTTTTGGTAATTATTTTGAACAATTTAGGTTGTTTTTCTGGTAGCTATGATTCTAGGTATGAGGTATGTTTATTTCAGACATTTAATACCTAGGTAGGTACATTTGTACATTTTATGGATCATACAAAAGAACTGTTAATTTTTAACGTTCCGATATTTAAAAATTGACTTTGTTGCGATACTTTCACCATCTTTGTTGAGTTCAAATCAAATTTTAGATGCTTATATTAATTTTGGCTTTACTAAAAAATAAGGTTACATTCGACTTTAAAGACACACGAATTTCAAAATATTTTTTGTACTATTAGAAAGTAGAGAAGTTATATATCAAGAAAATTAAAAAAAAATTGGAGATTATCCAGGATTAAGCCAGAAATTTAATGTTAAAATCTCAAAAATTGCACATTATTATTCAAATATTTTGACATATGTGTACAGGGTTGCCAAGTAATAAGTTTTTATAACTTATTGACATTTCACATGACATTTTTGAGTAATTTCTAGAAATACAATGTTACAAAATCATTTTATTTGACTGATTCAACATACCTAAACGTTCACTCTAAATTCTCCGCTACCGCGTCTTAGTGTTAATACTTACTCCCGCTTCTACTTAGTTTTTTAAATATTGGGGATAAAGGCAGAAATAGTAACAAGTAATAAATTAATCTTGGCAACCCCGCTCATTATCCAAAAAAGAAATGTCAAATATTAAAATTTTCAAGTTTTAGGTTAAATTTAATTTTTAAAAAGTATTTAACTAAAATATATAATTGATTTATACTTTTTTCGTATTTCCAAACCTAAGGTGAGTTAAAAATCATACTAAATATCATTTAAATTAAAAAATAAAGTGAAATTGGTCAGTGTGCCCTTAAAGTTGAATGTAACTTAAATTGAATTGTTTATGATTATTGAGAGGATTATTGAATTAAATACTGCATACCTACTTATGTCTGTTTATGATTGAGATGGTAATATGAAAATGATTTTTATAGTAAACAGGTTGTATGGTAGGTATTAGGTACAGGCGAACGTTAAAATCACTGAAAAAACATAGACAGGTACCAAAAAAGAAAAAATACTATAAATGTTGTTAGAACTCTTACACAATATAGAAATATGAAAATCATATAATGTATTTATATATAATACTAATAGGTACAACTAAAAAATATCACTTTATACCTATAACATTTTGATTTTTTAGAAATTCTATAACAACTGGACTACCTATGCAGGAAACTACCAACCCTCAATAGTGACAAACTGAGTTGATCAGCTCTAAAGTTTTTGTTTGTTTAAAAGAAGCTGTAGGCTCTGGGTTCACACTTTATAGATTTATAAGGTACCTATATAATTAAACTGAGGCTTGGTAGGTTTTTACAGAATGCAGAAAGTGTATTTTATTAGCCAAATGCGCGCACCCAATCCAATATCTTGTATATTGTGGGTTGGTAGCTTTCTGCACAACATCTCCAACTATTATACAGTAATTTTAAATGATTATAAAACTCTTATAAGTGTATTTTATGTCCGTGAAGTTAGCACCGCCAAATGAGAATGGGTACATTCTTTTGTTCACGTTTGTCCAACAATCATTTTCCGTTGTCCTTTCTCCAAGAAAATGGTAAGTAGGTAGGTATGGCAAAATAAAAATTTGACGGCAGCATCGCCATAAAAACTTTTTATACCTACATATTGTTCATGATTTGTTCATTTTTCAACAAGTTTGGTTTGTCTTCCACCCCAAACTATTTCGTATACCTTTTCAGCACACTAACTAGGGACAAAATGAGACAATATCCAGAATTTTACAATTAGATACCTAACAAACATCAGAATATTGATATTGCCCATATTTCTTTTCCTGCTTTTAAAAGAGCTATAAAAAACACGTTAATATGTAATTGTTAAATATTTTTTATTTTGTTATATATTTTTTACGAGATTTTTTATATTTTCTATTTCATTTTTACTTATATTTCTTTTTTTGCTTAGTAATTTATATAATGTCAGTCATTTTATATTTGTTATGGAACTTTATAAACTAATCTGTAAAATGGATTTTGACTGGTAAATAAATAAATAAATGAATAAAAGCAAGTTAATTGAAAAATAATGTGCATGGTCCTTAGGGACAACCTTAACACATGTAATTCGAATTAAATCAGGGTTGGCAGGTACAGGCTTTTTGCACCTAGGTTTTTTAGTGAAAATTCTTCAATTTTAGTTTTACTAATCAACTTTCATGAGAAAGGGTGCAAAAATGAGTATTAAATTGATAAAAAACAAATGCAAACATTTCCTCAAAGGTTTTAGGTACCACTTCTTCTTGAATATTGATATTAATGATAGTGACAATTTAAAAAAAAATAACATTTACCTATTTATTTTTCACTTTTTAGTTTTTTTTTGTTTGCAGAATATAATTTTTTTAAATAATAAAAAGTTTTTCTTGTATTTTTTGTATAACTTTATTAATAATAACTTGTGACATAATATGAACTAAAAATCTTAAAAAAAAAAACATAAAAACCCTTTTAAAATCCTTAAAAAACCTAAATAACTTAAAAACCTACTTATACAGGGTGGCTCACGCTCAACGGGACGGTGCTTTATGGGAAAACGTCCAAAGATATAAAAAATTCGTTTGGGAGGAATACGTAGGTTACAGACGGCTACAATTTAAAATTTGTTGTATACAGGATGTCCCACATAAGAAAAAAAAAATTAGTTCATTAAAAATTATTCAAACAAGAGTAAACAATTAATTTCTGGGAGACTTTTTTTCCTTAAAAATTCAAATAAATCGAAAATTAATAATAATAGTAATAGGGAACCTTTAGTTAACTGACATAATTTTTGATGTAGTTTTTAATTCTAAAATAAAAAACAGGGTGTTCCATTAAAAATAATATAACTTTGTATATTTTCTCTTATGTGGGACATCCTGTATACATCTAACAAATTTTAAATTGTAGCCGTCTGTAACCTACGTATTCCTCCCAAACGAATTTTTTATATCTTTGGTCGTTTTCCCATAAAGCTTCGTCCCGTTGAGCGTGAGCCACCCTGTATAATTTTTAATTCCTAGGTCAGGGGGTGGGTTGGCTCAGTGGTTAGAGTCATGACTTTGAGATCGGAAGGTCTCAGGATCGAATCCCACCGTTGGCCGGGATTTTTTCATTTAATTTAATTATTTAAAATTAATTCTGATGCCTTGGTAGGATTCCCCACTCGACCATTCACTGTTGGGTTCTAATTAACAGTGCTGTTCCTAAAGCGGCGCTGGGAAACAGTAACAAAGCCTACACAGAACCCGAGGCTAATGGCCGTACTAGTCGACGCCGATGACACCAAATTAAAAAAAAAAAAAAAAATTCCTAGGTCATTTCCAACCCTGAATTAAATACAACAATACAACTGTCAAAAGACTGTATCCTTAACTAACTCAGTAACTAACTCAGTATTATTTTACTCAGAATTTGTTAACGGCTGTGAAGTTCTCCACATCCACAAATGTACACTAAGAAAAATATAGCTCTTATCATAATAGTTATATAACTTGGTTCAAATGACATCTAGAGGCTTTTCATTTGCAGATTTTAATTGGGCAGGTTTCAATACATAACAAGCATACCCGCAATTAATTTTTGCTCCTTCTCAGTTGGTGAATTTATGGGCAAAATTTTAAAAAAATAATAGAAGTTACAAATGGCTTTGTACACCTTTCTGCTTGGGATATGTTATGAAGTTTGCTCTTTTCTTCATCCCTGATACCATGCTGGAGTTTGTTGAGATGTCTGAGGGGGAGTAATGGGGGGCGAAATTCAACAAAAAATCATAGAAGCCACAAATGGCTTTGTACACCTTTCTGCTTGGGATATGTTATGTAGTTAGCTCTTTTCTTCATCCCTGATACCATGCTGGAGTTTGTCGAGACGTTTGAGGGGGTGCAATTTAAAAAAAAAATCATAGAAGCCACAAATGGCGTTGTAAATCTTTCTGCTTGGAATATATTATGTAGTTTGCTATTTTCTTCACCCCTGATACCCTGTATTTTTTAAAAAATACATTTTTTTTGAAAAGTTATATATTGTTTTAAGAGCCTAAATATACAGTGAGCATCATAAGTCTTACCGCCCCTAACTAACTCGTTACTGGGGTCTTGTTAGGAAAATCGCCTAGACAGGTCGGTTTTTGATTTCTACAATGTACATTTTTGAATGATTAGTTTACCCTTAATTTCATCCCTTACTGCAGGGTAGTAACCCTTTCGAAAAATTTAAATGGCATGGGGTGGTGAGTGATAGCTCATTTGAAAGGGGGTTTTATTCTCTATTCAACCGTGCAAAAAATTTTGAAATTTGCTTTATTACGTGTTGATTTATTAATGTTTAAAAATA